ATATTTTTTAATAGGTACCAGATTATAAATTTACCATTTTTGTTACTTAAAAAGTCGGTTTAATACAAAAAAGTAAATGATAGATCATGGCAAAATTTTCTAAACATCTAAGTAGTTTTTAGAAAATTTTCAACTGATTTAATCCTTTGTTTAACGTTCAATTTAAGTGTTGATTGAAATATAACATGTAAATACTCATAATATATTTTGCATACCAATATACAGACTTCACTGAAACAGTAAACTTAAAAATTATCCTTCATTTTGGCTACTTATAAAAACGAAAGTACCAGTCAATCATAAAGTGTAACAAGTATCTAACACCTGATATGGCACAGGTGCTATTGTTTAGGGGCAAGGGTCGCGAAAGACACGCGCCCGCCACCTTGCGGTGATGCGACAGGTGAGCGCGGGAATTATTCGGGAAACGGAAATTGCGTTCATTGTCATCATGGCTGACATAAGGTTGTGACGTCACTGTCGTGGGCCGGCGAAATGATTTGATTTATGGTCGTTTTTAAGGTTCAGGTTTAATAGAATCTCTTTCTATGTTGGTTGTGTTTTTTTTCTTGCAAATGAACTAACTTTGAGTTAACTTGGCTGAAGTCGTCAGTTTCAATAGTTAAGGGGTTTATAAAAATTAATTAGATAACTATTGTGTGGGAGAGCCATGCTTCGGCACAAATGGGTCGGCTCGACCGGAGTGATATCTCGGCCACATAGAAAACCGACGTGAAACCAGCACAACGTTGTGTTTCGCCGTCTGAGTGAGGTTACCGGAGGCCTCCCTCCATCCCTTCCCAATCCTTAAATATCCTAAACCCTTATCGCTAAAAGGCTGACAATGCACTGTGTTATGTTGTTATTGTGTCCATCTGCGGCTTTAATTGCTTAACATCAGGTAATCCGTCTACTCGTTTCCCGACCTACCACTTATAAAAAACCTACTAAAACCTACCTAGTACTCATAGAAATAATTTTTATACCATAAAATATCTTCATACATAACTGGCTACCCTAGTGCTTAGTCATAACGTCCATTTTTCTTCACCTCGTACCGCATAGTGACTATTTATAAGAACAAGAAGTATGGGAAATACCTACCCTTTAGCATTTCCTCAAACCATGGCGTCCGCCGCCAGAGTGGCGCCTTTAACGGTCGATAGCACCTCAACCCTCGTACAACCCAACCAATAACAAAAATCCACATTGTCACCAAGACTTCTTAAACAAGCTAACATTTCAAACTGGTCATGTTATACGGAAAATAATACGAAGAAAACAAAGAGTAGAGTTAACTGATTTGGTAAGTGCGTGTCGAATGGCGTTTACAATTTTATAGTATTGTAATAGGGATGTTGAAATCGCTGCCAGGTGGCGAACTGTTTATTTTCTTAAAAACCATTTTGTTCATTTTTCCTACATCTTTTCTCTTCTTACTGCTTTATCTTTTTGGTTGTGGTCTCGATGTGTCATGTAACATCCAATTGGACGAAAGGGACCTTCAAATAAACCAAATATTAATGAGCCAGAAGGCTGTATGTAACTCATAATGAAAAGCAAGCTCTTGTAGTTTTAAGTCACAACCGTACTCTTCTTCATGAGCAACGTATGTGCAGCTTACAGCTACACTCACTTCCCCAAAAAAGGCTTAACAGTCAATTTTTTTTTTTATCAGACGAGTGATGGAACATCAGGACAGGAGCTTTATTTTTGGACAATCATCAAATGACTTCTCCCGCCCAGGGTAAGGAGAGAGAGATTGTCAGACTCTTACTGACTAAAATCCCCCGATTCTTCTCCTGCTTTAGGCCATGGCCGCGACGAGTCATTGCGCTTGACCCGCAACCCCGGCTGAACATCAACCCTATAGGGCCCCGTCTGTGGTGGTCTATTGGCTCTTTGAGGCGCGCCATACACTCGGGTCTGGTTCTGGTCGGGGTCGAGGTAGAAGTAGGTAGGTACCGCGCTTGCGGTGGCCGGAGATAATCTCTCGTTCGGACAGGAGGTACATTGTTGTGCTTACACCAGTGATTTCGTTATCATAACATAGTAAAATCAAAGTAGCTTTCTCTGTCCCTACATCTCTATGTACCTATGCTTAAATATTTTATACACAACGGATTTTGTTACCGGTTTTTTTATTAGATAGAATGATTGAAAAGAAAGGTTTATAGCATATGTCTATGGTTTATAAGTATATGGTTTATAAGTAAATAACATCAGTTAAACAGTAGGGACATTGAGTATCAGCATTGCAACCGCGCGAAGCCGGGGGCGGGTCGCTAGGTTTCAATAAACAAAATAACGAGGTATTTCTCAGCACACACCATTAGTTATATAAGTTAGTTATATAAGGAATACGGTATTTTTACCATTTGAACACGTTAAAGACATTCAACCTTGTCCCAATATCAAATAGATTCGGTACAAAGCCTTGACATAAAACCAAGCTGCCAGTATTCCAGCCAAACTGCAAAATCTATCATTTAAAGTAAGTTACTTGGCATAAATAAGCTGACCTAATTTCTTCTGAAAAGACACCTATTTTCTATATTGATTTTTGACGGTACCGCATAAGACCCGTCTTTGAGGAGGTACTAAAGAGACGCGACGGTGTCCTCTACTTCCTCCTGATTTGACAGGGAAGTTCCAGAAGGTCCTGTTTCGGAATCACCGCAAGGACCACTCGTAGGACATGGTGAAGCATACGTCTACGTTGTGCCGTTCTTAGGCTGCAGCTCACCTCAGATGCAGCCCACTAAAGCTGATGTTCAGCAAAGGTCGAGGGCTTGCGAGTATTAACGCAATAACGTATCGCGACCTAGAGCATGAGAATGATTAGTTTGGTATTTAGTCAGTAAGGATTTCGTTTCGCAAGTCCGGCTGGAAGAAAAATTATTTTGATAAATTTTTTTCTTGATTCGATCATCTAAACATCACCCTACTACCGATTCGACTATAGTAAAAAAAAACATTTCTTTTAGGTTTTCCATAACAAACTTTACGTTTTTCTAATTGATTATCTTGTATCTGCTTTAAGAATATTCTTACAAAATCTTATGGAAACGAAAAGAACTTTAAAAACGAAAGAACAAAAAAAATATAACGAATAAACACTTCACGTCACAATTTATTTTCACTCATTTATCTGCAGCGTAGATGTCGTTAGTGTCGTTTTATTCCCATCAAGACATCTGTGCGGCATTGTAACAGCAGATGCGTAGAGCTGGCACTTTGACAACATTCGGGGTAATATCTTTACTTACATATTGCACATAGCTGTGTCAGTATATGTGTGCGTAACTACAAGCTATTGTGTCATCGTAAAGTCCTGTAACTGCTGTTTATACCTACACTAAATGCTGGTCTTATTGAAAATGTCATAAATAGTCCCCAGTTTGTAAAATGGACGGTAACTGCTAACCATGTATAGAGATATACGAAGATTTAATAACGTTCCGTTCTTTTTTATAGGACACAAATAAGAAAAGGTGTTTGCAAACGATTGTAGTTTAGTTTTTGTACTTATTTTAACTGTGTGGACATTTTTAGAAGCAGTTACTTACGGTAATGTTGGCCTATATGATAAGCTGTACAGTTTCTGTATGTTGAATAGGTACTTATACATTTTTTCTATGGAATAGGAGGCAAACGAGCGGTTGACCAAATAGGCACTCACAACACCAAAGTAGTAACGAGCATTTAGGGATTAGGGTTTTAGGTTATTTAAGGATTCGGTAGGAAAATAATTGAGCCTCCGGTAACCAGGTTCACTCACACAGCGCAACACAACGCTGGTTTTTTGTGAGGCCGTGGTATGTGGAACCTACCGACGAAGCATGGCTTCCCACTCTTTTATTGCATATATAAACTTATGACAAAAAAGTGTAGTATTAGCAAAAATGCAAAAAAAAACTAACTTACCTGCTTAGATACCCTTTTTTGAACTACGAAACCACCAAATTACTTCTTTCGTCCTGAATGGAGCGCGGAGAGTATTAGACTCTAACTGACTATAATCCACCCTAATAAAGCGCTAGGACCCACATTCGTTTACTAGAAAGACATACTTATCATAGAAAAAAAATGATTGTTCCCAATTTATGATTATTCTGACTACACCAAACATTCGACCACATGAGTGCCGCTAATAATTCAGTAATTCCTTAACCGCTAACCATGTAACACGTCACAATAAATTAAATAAAACGTTCCGTTAAAAATATTGCAATTATAACTTCAAATAATGGGCTATCTTCACATGTACCTGCTCCTTGTTATTACATATATTGCGTTTCGTGTATTGCAACAATTAAATGATGCTTACCAACGTTTTGTAGACAAAACATTAAGTTAATTCGAATAAGGAACGATATTCCGTTGTTCAAATTGAGTACCAAAATAAAAAAAAAGCAGCAATTTATTGATATTCCATTATTTATCTTAAATTATTTTGTATCCACAGATTATAATATTCATTGCCAATTATTGTCGTTGACTGAAACATGTGTATTTTTTTTTTTTTGGGAATCATAGTGTCTTGGTACAGATTTTTAATATTTTTTTTATTAATGGCAATTAGTTTTGTTCTCTCCGTTTAAAATTACTACCGGTAGACACAAAGCTTAAGGTTATCTGATAGTAAGTAAACACAGTATCCTTAGTACACTTTGCAACAAAACAGAAAGGTAGGTATATCGCAAATTCGTAGCGTTGAGAACCACCACAGTAGGAAGATCTCCAAAAAATGACATATTTATATTTAACAGTGTATGAGACTTCCAGTTTCAATAGATTGTTTGGCAGTAATTACATCATTATAACAAAAAATATTCCAATGGCTAAATAAAATAATTTGAAGGCAACTAGCGCCATCTATACAATTTATAATAAAACTCGTTGGTTCTTCTTACTCTTATGGTTTTGCTAGTCGATACTAGATGGCGCTGTAGTGTCAAGTTACATAATGTTAATATAGGCGTTGTTTAGTAGATAGATGACAAGTGTCATACTCATTTTATCTCATAAAGTGTAGCCATGTGTTTTAAATGACGTAATTTTTTAATTTTTGCTGAAACATTATTGTAATCGGGATTCAATAATACGATATAGCATATATATATATTCCAAATATAGCATACATAGATATCATTGTCAGGCTCTGATATATAATAAACCTATTAGATATTTCGGGGTATAAATATAACATCAAAACAATATTGATCATCAATTTAGAAGTTCGTGATTTGTGTAATAAGTTTTATTAATCGTCCGCAAGATGTCGCTCAAACGAGTTCTAATTGTAAACAAATCGTTCCCAGTCGCCGGCTTAGAATTATTAAAAAACAAGTGAGTAACTGAACAATTTTATTTCTTTTATATATATATCGTAAAATAGAAACCATGACTTCCTTTTCATTTAGTATCTTTCATAATTGTACCTATCACCAAAGCAACATGTTCAGCATTTTTGGATTCAATACAAGATTTTGTTTCAAATACACAATATTATACAACTTAATGCTGCGCCTGGAAAAGAGATGTTTAGTGTTAAATAATTACCTGTATTAAAATTTCACTTAAACACCATTTTTTATCTTCATTAAATCAATCAAAAATTAATAAATCTCTGCTATTAAAGGGTTGAAACCATCGTGCTTCCCCATCTGGATTACGAAGCCGAGAGCTTGCCGAGTATAAAGGACAACCTCAAAGGAATCGACGCTTTAATATGGAACACGAAACACAAACTTACTGGAGAATTATTAACATTAGCAGGTATTTATAGAGAAAAAAGAAATTATATTTTTTTTGTTTCTTAGCGACCCGGATGAATTTCTAAGACAGATGATCCGTGTGAAGTACTTTTTTGTACTACATTTTAAAGTTTATTTCCTAAGACTGAAGGTTTAATATGTTATTCTGAGTGGATCCATTTTCATTCATTCTTCGAAAATTTAACTTTAATTTTTTAAATTTAATTTTATTTATCAATTCCAAATATAAATTATAATAATAATATAAGGTGTTCATATTTTCTTGGAATGCGGAAACGAAATAAAACTAACAATAACACTAAGTTCCTAAAAGACGATAATTATAACAGAACCTCAGAATACAGAACAAACAACAGAACCAGTACGTTCTATAAAAGTATTAATTTCCTCAGGACCTCAATTAAAAGCAGTATCAACAATGGCGTCAGGCATCGACCACATTGAAGTGGCAGAAATCAAGAAACGTGGCATTCCATTAGGAAACACTCCACAAGTGCTTGATGACGCAGTAGCTGATATAACTGTTGGACTCATGATTGCTGCTGCAAGGAGGTTCAAGGAAGGAGTTCAAGAATTAGAGGCGTGAGTATTTAATTGGCTCTATGCTTTTAAGAGGGGAAAATCGGCGAGAGGAAAGCGTCCAGATTCTTACTGACCAAAACCCACCTCGTTTTTGCCCGAAGAATAATTGGGTTTGGCCCGCAACTCTGGCTGGACATCAGCCCTGTTGAGCCTCATCTGTAGTGGTCTATTGACTCTTTAAGCCGTGTGGAAAAATCTTTGTTTTCAACAACAGCAAGAACTATCCTACTTAATATTTATTTATGTTCATTCCCATCTAGCAAAACTCTGCATTCATTCATCAAATTCATATGTGTCAAATGTTCCTTTGTTGAGGAATATTGTTCCACAGCCCCCGGCACCTCACTGATTCGTCCTTGATACAAATTAATAGTCTAATTACGACTAATTACCTAAATTTTGACTGCAGTAATTTTTGTTCATTGTTCACAGTTTGTAATTAAATTTCTACTTTCATCTAGGCATGGTTTATTCTGAGTACAAAAATAAATATGCGAGATGTTTCTAAGTAATCATAAATAATACCTCCTTTAAGTAACTACTCATTTATTTATTTATAGCAGAAAACAAATAGAGGACTTCGAAATGGTTATCAAAGAGAGAAGTGATACCTTTTTCATATTATACTTGCAGACAGTAGAAAATCGTCCCAAAGAAAGCATATTATTTTAATCTGTTGTGGGCCGGTGTTGGGCCTCTATCTCGCCTGGTGGTTAGCGATGTTGAAACCTAAGATGGAACACGTCTACTCATAAGCAACAAAAAGGGGAATTTTATAGCTGAACTGGGTCTGTAAGGTAAGGCGCGTAGCGTTCCACGCGCTCCTCAAAGAGCCAATAAACCACTACAGACGGGGCATTATAGGGCCAATGTTTAGCCGGGGTTGTACCGTGGCCTTGGTCAGCAGCAGGATATGGAAAAGGTTTTTAGTCAGTAAGAGTCTGACACTTCCTCTCGCCTCTCCCTGGGCGGGAGAAGCCATTTGATGATTTTACAGTGACAAAAAAAATGCTTATAGGAAATTAGGAGAAGTTGAACCAAGGGACGAAAATGTAGTTAATGGCTTTATTCCTAAAATGTTGGTAGTAAGTTGTTAGCTTCTTTAATACCTATCTTACTATCAAATGGTTTTTGGAATTCCCACCAAGTTTTTTTCTAATATTTATTTGTCTTCTTCGCCTTTTACAGAACTTTGTCTAGTAGCTTGAGTACACTAGACTTTGCTTGTTTATCATGGCGGTGAACCTCAACTGTAACCGATATTCTCCTGATTCCAGAGGCGAATGGAAGTATGGCGTCCAATGGATGGTGGGCCAGGATATTTCTGGCAGCACAGTTGGAATCGTAGGCTTCGGGGGTATTGGGCAGGCAGTGCTCCGAAGACTGAGGGGTTTTGACGTCGCTAAGTTTTTGTACAGTGGACGCACTGACAAACCTGAAGGTAAGTGGAAAAAATGTTTAATTAAAGTTAGCAAACATGGAATACTGTCCTCCGCCCGGCTACACCCACGTGGTGTGTTGATAAAAAGCAAAAATTTTTTTTGTGTAAAAAAAATAACAAAAATAAGTACATCCATACATTCTCTGAAGCTTCCTCATTTATAATATTAGTAGGATAGTAGGATGATTTATTTATTTATTTTTTTGTTAAGGTAACCAACAGCGATATGTTTTACAAAATATAATAATTGCAAGTTATATGGCTGATTATAGGTTTCACTGTATCTAATATGTTTACATGCGAACGGACTAATTCCGGTTATATATATTAAATTGAATGATGAGGGAGATATTATATCAGTGGAGATACATACCTTATTCCAAGGGGTACTATATGTATATCTTAGATACGTATCTGTTATTATATTTTATACTACAAACATAATCGACGCTTGAAAGGAAAAATCGACTAAGCGACAATTTGGCCGATATTGAGTTATATACATCGTTAGGTTCGCAAAAAAATCCCCCGTCGATTGGTCTTACTCCCATGCTTCTGTGATGTTTTTTGATGTCGCTTAGATATCTTTCAGTTTGTTAATTTTTAATAGTTTTCGGTAACCAAGCGACTAAGTTTGTTACCCTTTAAAAAAATAATGCATTTGGGACATTTTTTCATAACTGTTTTTGTACTTAGTAAATTTCACATGACTTCGATTAAAATTATTTTGGTTTTTAGTCTACTTTTACCGATTCCACGAAAAAAAAAAATTAGTTTAGCAAATTTTACCTCTCAGAAAATTGTTTATTTTTTCGGCTTCCGCATTTTTACCCTACCTTAAATATTAGCCATTTGGCATTTAGACATTTTTTACCTGTTCTCATTTACGTAAACATGTCGTTTAGTAATTTATTCCTGCATTTATATTAAATCATACATGGCGCTTAAGAAAATATGACTTGCCGTTTTTTATATTAATATTGGCGCTTAGATATCTTTTGCGGGAAGAAATTTTAATCAAAATTATGGTTGTGCCTCCTGTACGTAGGGTGCGTTGTCGTTTGGACTTGACGCGAATTGATCTTAGTGTGGCTGTTAGTAACAAAACCACAATCACTGTGCGACGAATCGTCGTTTAGTGAGCCCGCGCGTCCCGTTTTCGCGCCACTTGGACACGATCTTTGGTAAGTATTTTTTTAAATATTATTGTAATTTTACTTGCTGAGTATTAATTAAACTATATTTTATTATTATAATTTAAAGCCAATTTTATAAATGTTAAATAGATATGTATTATTGTTTTAGAATGATGGATCGAAGAAATCGACGTTTGTCCAAGATCATTGACTAAGCTTTGACGAATGCGGGAATATCTGAAGTGGAAGGGAATTTGGTAGCGTTTACCTAATTAAGTACCAATTTATTATTGACTTGTTTGGTGATATTAACTATTATGTTGTTTTTCTTTGTAGGATTCCGTTCCTTCACAAATATTTAGTACAGACGCTTATAACGTAAATATGGATGGTGACAATTTAAAACAGAAGAAGCAAGTACGCAAGAAACTTATATTTGATAATGAACCGGTACGTAATAATAATAATTATAATAATTATAATAACATAGTTTTATAATTTACTAGGTACGCCCCGCAGTTTCACCTGCGCAGATCCTGACCCGTGGGAATACCGTGATATAAAAGTGGTCATGGTCTATTAATGTGTGCCCAATATAATGTGTAATATAATGTAAATATATAATAATATGTAATATAAATATAATGTGTGTTATATCTTTCGGGATATACTGGTGCCAAATAAAACACTCAACAAAAAGAAATTACAATATTGTTACGTGCCTCGTCACGTTCCTGACTATGCGGGCTTGGGTTACGGGATTGGATGAAATGAAACACTAATACCGGTTTTCAGACTTTCTATTGCACTTAAGTTACAGCGTCCACGGAGTTAAGTTATCGGCGTTCCTCTCCAGCAGAGTCCGGCCGACTGACACAACTTTGCCGTTCACGCTGACTTAACTCACTTAACTGACTGCACTTCACTATTTCACTGCACTTCACTATTTCACTCACTTTTCTTCTTTTTCACTTCTTCCTTTTCTTCCGAATCGCTTTAGACTTAGAACTCATCTGCTAGCGGTGAGCCGCAGTTCCGCTTATATACCCCCGGTCAAGTTCTGGAACATTCAATTTCGTTATTCTTTTTGATCGTCATGCCTCCAGAACCTTCCAATAATTTCGTTATTCATTTTTATTTATTCTCCTTCTCGCTCTTTAATTTTTCATTTCTTTCACACAAATAATTCCAGAAAGTTCGACAAAACTTCCATCAACTAAAAAACTTCATGTTTACGGCGGGACTCGAACTCGGGGTCTCTGTGGTGTAATCCACACGCCTTACCAATTACACCAACTCGTATTGACAATTCACGACGAAATTTACAATCTCTAGGCAACGTTTGACAACAATCCATTGACGTCATGATGTCAAAGAGTTTGAACCACTTTTCCGTCTGTCCACAGATTATAATATTCATTGCCAATTATTGTCGTTGACTGGAACGTGTATATTTTTTTTTTTTTGGAAGCAAAGATTGTCATTGTGCATATTTTTAATATTTTTTTGTTAATGGCAATTAGTTTTTCTCTCCATTTAAACTACTATCGGTAGGCACAAAGCTTAAGGCTATCTGATAGTAAGTGAACACAATATCCTTAGTACACTTTGCAAGAAAACAGAAAGGTATATCGCAAATCCGTAGCGTTGAGAACCACCACATTAGGAAGATATAGTACTGTGAAGGACCCCAATAAATGACATATTTATATTAAACACTGTATAAGACATCCAGTTTCAATAGATTATTTGGCAGTAATTACATCATTATAACAAAAAATATTCCAATAGCTAAATAATTTGAAGGCAACTAGCGCCATCTATACAATTTATACTAAAACTCGTTGGTTCTTCTTACTCTTATTGTTTTGCTACTCGATACTAGGTGGCGCTGTAGTGTCAAGTTACATAATGTTAATATAGGCGTTGTTTAGTAGATAGATGACAAGTGTCATACTCATTATATCTCATAAAGTGTAGCCATGTGTTTTAAATGACGTAATTTTTTAATTTTTGCTGAAACATTATTGTAATCAGTATTCAATAATACGATTATTTGCGTTAAAAATAGTTTATTACATTATATTCCAAATATAGCATACATAGATATCATTGTCAGGCTCTGATATATAATAAACCTATAAGATATTTCGGGGTATAAATATAACATCAAAACAATATTGATCATCAATTTAGAAGTTCGTGATTTGTGTAATCAGTTTTATTAATCGTCCGCAAGATGTCGCTCAAACGAGTTCTAATTGTAAACAAATCGTTCCCAGTCGCCGGCTTAGAATTATTAAAAAACAAGTGAGTAACTGAACAATTTTATTTATTTTATCACAAAATAGAAACCATGACTTCCTTTTCATTTAGTATCTTTCATAATTGTACCTATCACCAAAGCAACATGTTCAGCATTTTTGGATTCAATACAAGATTTTGTTTCAAATACACAATATTATACAACTTAATGCTGCGCCTGGAAAAGAGATGTTTAGTGTTAAATAATTACCTGTATTAAAATTTCACTTAAACACCATTTTTTATCTTCATTAAATCAATCAAAAATTAATAAATCTCTGCTATTAAAGGGTTGAAACCATCGTGCTTCCCCATCTGGATTACGAAGCCGAGAGCTTGCCGAGTATAAAGGACAACCTCAAAGGAATCGACGCTTTAATATGGAACACGAAACACAAACTTACTGGAGAATTATTAACATTAGCAGGTATTTATAGAGAAAAAAGAAATTATATTTTTTTTGTTTCTTAGCGACCCGGATGAATTTCTAAGACAGATGATCCGTGTGAAGTACTTTTTTGTACTACATTTTAAAGTTTATTTCCTAAGACTGAAGGTTTAATATGTTATTCTGAGTGGATCCATTTTCATTCATTCTTCGAAAATTTAACTTTAATTTTTTAAATTTAATTTTATTTATCAATTCCAAATATAAATTATAATAATAATATAAGGTGTTCATATTTTCTTGGAATGCGGAAACGAAATAAAACTAACAATAACACTAAGTTCCTAAAAGACGATAATTATAACAGAACCTCAGAATACAGAACAAACAACAGAACCAGTACGTTCTATAAAAGTATTAATTTCCTCAGGACCTCAATTAAAAGCAGTATCAACAATGGCGTCAGGCATCGACCACATTGAAGTGGCAGAAATCAAGAAACGTGGCATTCCATTAGGAAACACTCCACAAGTGCTTGATGACGCAGTAGCTGATATAACTGTTGGACTCATGATTGCTGCTGCAAGGAGGTTCAAGGAAGGAGTTCAAGAATTAGAGGCGTGAGTATTTAATTGGCTCTATGCTTTTAAGAGGGGAAAATCGGCGAGAGGAAAGCGTCCAGATTCTTACTGACCAAAACCCACCTCGTTTTTGCCCGAAGAATAATTGGGTTTGGCCCGCAACTCTGGCTGGACATCAGCCCTGTTGAGCCTCATCTGTAGTGGTCTATTGACTCTTTAAGCCGTGTGGAAAAATCTTTGTTTTCAACAACAGCAAGAACTATCCTACTTAATATTTATTTATGTTCATTCCCATCTAGCAAAACTCTGCATTCATTCATCAAATTCATATGTGTCAAATGTTCCTTTGTTGAGGAATATTGTTCCACAGCCCCCGGCACCTCACTGATTCGTCCTTGATACAAATTAATAGTCTAATTACGACTAATTACCTAAATTTTGACTGCAGTAATTTTTGTTCATTGTTCACAGTTTGTAATTAAATTTCTACTTTCATCTAGGCATGGTTTATTCTGAGTACAAAAATAAATATGCGAGATGTTTCTAAGTAATCATAAATAATACCTCCTTTAAGTAACTACTCATTTATTTATTTATAGCAGAAAACAAATAGAGGACTTCGAAATGGTTATCAAAGAGAGAAGTGATACCTTTTTCATATTATACTTGCAGACAGTAGAAAATCGTCCCAAAGAAAGCATATTATTTTAATCTGTTGTGGGCCGGTGTTGGGCCTCTATCTCGCCTGGTGGTTAGCGATGTTGAAACCTAAGATGGAACACGTCTACTCATAAGCAACAAAAAGGGGAATTTTATAGCTGAACTGGGTCTGTAAGGTAAGGCGCGTAGCGTTCCACGCGCTCCTCAAAGAGCCAATAAACCACTACAGACGGGGCATTATAGGGCCAATGTTTAGCCGGGGTTGTACCGTGGCCTTGGTCAGCAGCAGGATAAGGAAAAGGTTTTTAGTCAGTTAGAGTCTGACACTTCCTCTCGTCTCACCCTGGGCGGGAGAGGTCATTTGATGATTTTACTGTGAAAAAAATACTTATAGGAAATTAGGAGAAGTTGAACCAAGGGACGTAAATGTAGTTAATGGCTTTATTCCTAAAATGTTGGTAGTAAGTTCTTAGCTTCTTAAATGGCAAGACTATGAACTGGTTTTTCCAACTCCCACCAAGTTTTTTTTAATAATTTATTTGTCTTTTTCACCTTTTAAAAAATTTTCTCTAGTAGCTTAAGTACAGGCTTTGCCTGTTTATCATGGCGGTGAACCTCAACTGTAACCGATATTGTCCTGATTCCAGAGGCGAATGGAAGTATGGCGTCCAATGGATGGTGGGCCAGGATATTTCTGGCAGCACAGTTGGTATCGTAGGCTTCGGGGGTATTGGTCAAGCAGTGCTCCGAAGACTGAGGGGTTTTGACGTCGCTAAGTTTTTGTACAGTGGACGCACTAACAAACCTGAAGGTAAGTGAAAAAAATGTATAGTTTATAGTTAACAAACATACAATACTAGCCGCCCGCGTCTTCGCCCGCGTGGTATGTTGATAAAAAGCAATCTTTGTGTTCATCCGGAATATCCTTCATCTACATACGAAATTTCAAACAAATCGGTCCAACCGTTTTTGCGTAAAAATATAACAAACCTAAGCGCATCCAGAAATTCTCACAAAGTTCCTCATTTATAATATTAGTAGGATATGTATTAGGATGATGAGGGAGATACATCAGAGGTAATTCGAAGAGCTACTAAGTTAATAGATCTTAGAATATACCTATCTGTTATTATATTTTATCCTATATAAAGTTCTAGAGCCCCTTTTATCTTACTTACGTATGTATTGTTGGAGATTTTTAAGATTTAATTTGCTTATTTGAGTCTCACTAGAATAATAATGAATAATAATAAAATAAAAAAATAAATAATGAAAGAATAATAAGATAATAGAATAAATAATGAATAAATAAATAAAGAATAAATAAGAATAATAAAATAAATAATAAAAGAACACTGTAATAATATCACAATACAAACATACTACTCACAGCAAAAGGAGTAGGTATCGGTTATCAACCAAATTATCTCACATTGTGTGACTGATAAAGTATTATTGACACAAATATTAGCTGAATAAAACGCTTTGATGTCAAGTAGAAGTATCTCTTTTAAATAACCTAATAGATAGGTAACTAACTACTAACCTAACCAACCTGATCATGTACGCGGAGAAAACTTGGCCGGAGATCGCACTAGACAGAGAAATTTGGAAGGAAAAAGGGGAGGCCTTTGCCCAGGAGTGGGACACACTTACTTATTGCGTTGTTGTGGGATAATCTAACATTATAAAATATATTTATCTTATTCGATTGTTTATTTGAATTAGCTTTTCTCTGCCCGCAAATTGTATTTAAAAAAATATTTTCGTAATAGACATATACCTACATAATTTACATGTAAAAAACCTCTCGATCGATTTCTACCTTGCTAGTCTAGTCTTTCCGACTAGACTAGCCCTCTAAGCTGCAGCTGGAGATAAGGGTTAAGTGCAATAATGTACTATGGCCCCAGCCTGGAAAAGGAGAACGAACGAGGAAGTTTTTAGTCAGTAAGAGTCTGACACTCCATCTCGCCCCATTCGAGGCGGGAGATCTGATTTGATGATTATTCCAACAAAACGCAGCCAATCTTCGGAATAGTCTGCCGCTTGTGGTCAAACGCAGAATTCGTGGCTTTACAGGCTTTCCGAGGCAACTGGGTGAATCACCGTCGAACTACCTGACTTCGGGATAACAATGAGCATTTATAACTTAAATCCACTAGTAGGTACTTCTTTCCCATAAAAACAGTTTTCTTTATTCTTTCTTTCTTCTTTCCATACAAAGTTTTCAAATCCCTCTAGATTGCAAAAAAATAATAAATGCACGAAAGCTTATCATCATCACCATTAGCCTATAAGGGCTCACTGCTGGCCAAAAGCCTCTTGTCACACCGAGAAGGGGGCACCTTAAGCTCAGGACCACCACGACAGGATACGGAGAAAAGCTAGAATCATATTATAATAATTGTTTAGGTTAAAATGACGAGCGGAAACTTGGCTTAGTTCATCAAATCCCAAACGAACGCGTTCGTACACATATATTTCTTCTATTTTGTCTTGAATTACTAAGATTGAAAGGTTAAAATTAAAATACACACCGATGCTCTTTAACTTCCTTCCAATGAAAGAAGCATATGTAACATTATTTTCTCTTGTTTTTTATAGCAAAAACTTTGGGAGCAGAACGAGTACCTCTTGAACAGTTGTTGAGGGAGAGTGACTACGTGATCCTGGCGTGCCCTCTAACGAAGGAGACCAAACATCTGATCAACGCAAACTCACTAAAGACGATGAAGAAGACATCTGTCGTCGTTAACATTGGGAGAGGAGGTAAGCAGAGATGGGAGAAACGAGCACTCTATTAATTATTACTAGCTACTCTCACGCGGTTTCACCCGCTGCTCGTCTCCATTTGATCGTAGCATGATGTTTTATAGCCTATAGCACTCAGGAACATTGTAGCTTTCTATCAGTGCATGATTTTTGGCAATCCGACCAGCGGTTCCAAAGATTATCCCCTACATACAAACATACAAACTTCTCATAATCTTTATGATATTAGTATAGAACTGCATAGCAAAGGGTATTCGGCTTGAGTTAAATACAAAAGTTTCTTCGAGTTTACTGAAGGCCCAATCTCTATGCTTAAATCCTCAACCACTCACAACCCGGCAACTCCTTTGGTATTACGAATGTCCATTCCTACCAATTTCGGGGATTGATAACATATCTTAACGTATAACTTTGATTGAATTAGATATTCACAAATTCACATCCGTTATCAAGTTTCTTTGGTGTTTCAGAGCTAATAGACCAAGAAGCCTTGTACGATGCTCTCAAAGAGAACCAGATCTTCGCAGCAGGATTGGATGTCACTACTCCAGAGCCATTACCGAACAACCATCCTCTTGTGTCTTTGCCAAACTGCTGTAAGTATTAAACATATTAAAATAAAAATGAGCAGATTGATTTGATCGAAATAGGGAAAGGAGTATCCGATTTGATTTTCACAAATTTTGATTTTTGGAACAAGTTCTGAGCACAAAATAGCGATATGTGGTATGCGCCGTTAAATAGGTACCTATAGCATAACATTAAGTAGGTACGACTAGCTCCCTCTATGATGTAAGATTCTAACTGAATACGATGTCTAATAATTTGTTGTTCATCTGCCTACTCCTGGGGATGAAAAGACATGGCAACTACAAAGCACTTAACGTACTTTTTTTTAACTTTTTCATACCTGCTAATATTTTCTGAGACAAAAATTTTACGATCAAAGTCGACTGTTTACGAAGGCCCAATATTAGCCTATCTCCCGCCTTTACATAACAATATTTGCCTAATAATCGTATTGTTATTAATATTAATAATTTTTGTTACAGACATTATACCCCACATGGGTAGTGCAACCGTTGACACCAGAAACAAGATGGCGTCGATATCAGCCCAGAACGTGTTGCTGGCATTAGAGGGAAAACCTATGCTGTTCCCTTGTTGAAGATTATTAACTCAATATATTATATTTCAAATCAATTGGGCACACCTATTGTAATGTATTGAAAAATATATTTTATTATCAATAAACTATACTTACTTTCCTTTTTATCACATCACATCATCAACTTATAAGTGCTCAACAGAAATGCTTCAAAATTATAATTTGAAATTATAAATTCAGATTTTCCCGCTATGCCTTCGTTCACTACACTGTCTGTGTGTCTGTTTCTAAATAATCATAGATAGCGCAAAACGCGACAATGGGTAGGTACCTACTTACCAAGTTTTGAACCCTCATGCATGAGAAGCCAAGGATGCGGATTAAGTACCGCGGCTCGGAGCAGAAGGAACGGGGTATTTTTAGTAGGTAAGTATATCTAAGTATACCCTTCTCACCTTTAGAGCGGGAAAAATGATTTGGCAATTATTCTACCCTTTAAAAACAAAATAAGAAGCGGACGCCATAACCCCGGAGTTATTACATTTTTAATAGTTATATTGTCGTTTTTTGATAATGAAGTTGTATTATTACATACAAATATTGTATAATTTAGACATATTGTACAGTTGAAACTAGAAATATTAGTTTGTTGTTAAGTAGAAATATTTTTTTAATATGTTAGAAACAAAAAAATAATTCTGTCTAAGTTTATCCAAGACTATTATGAGCTTATCACCAGTTACTGAGACCACCCAATAATGAATGATTCCAAGAACAACGACCTACCTTTTATATGGTAAATGCTATCTTATGCTTAACTTATCTTAAAGGGGAAACATTGTTAATTATATTATCTCTAATAGGTACTAATAACGACCCCTGCAAAAAAGTGTGCAAAAATCGAGTGCAAATTCATGAACGTGTGCAAAAATGAGGTAATAGTTTATTTTAATGATATCAACATAATCGGATTGTATAGAAATAAGTAATCCGATATCTCGTGTCGTAATCTTGGTGACCCGGGGGTTCAAGAGCCCGCTTGTCAAACATAAGGGTGGCATGAAGCCTGGAAGTTTTCCGAATTATGTGTAGTTTCTAAGTTTATTTAGACAGCACTGACAAACATTGGAGGAAATCATCGTGAGGAAACCTGAACCTTATGCGTTGAATCTGCCAATCCACCTTGAGCAGGCGTGGTGATTGTTCTAAATGCCCAACCTTCTCCATGGGAGCAGAAGACTACTTAGAGGTGCGCACTTATAGGTTAATTATTTGAGCACCTACTCCGATACCAAATTGAACTTAAGATGTTGACATACCCAAAAGGATGAGCACTGAAGTGGCAGTGGGCTGGTCACATTTGTCGCAGAATCGATGAGATTTAGAGTTCTGGAGTGGAGACCGCGTAGGGTGAACTGACGATATCTGTTAGCTGGTAGTGGTTGAATGAGAAGAGATGAACATCGAGCTCAATGGTGTGCAATTGGAGACGCATATGATGATGATGATGTTGATGATGTTGAAATTTTCACGTGCGTCCCGATCTACAGAATGAACAGTGCACATTCACACACACACAAATAAACGATTAATATTATTATTATATTATTCTATGCGTGTGGAAAACTGACTTTTGAGATCAGATTTCTTTACTAAGTTTTCCTTCGCTGCATGTCTTTGTTTGTCCAGACTTCGTTTCAGCTTCGTCTTACGGTAATCCAATCGAAACTTTACCGCGTATAGCAAGAGAGATCATCAGAGCTGTTCATTATTTCTTAACGGGATATTTATGTCGGCAAACGAGCAGACGGATTACCTGATAGTGAGCAGTCGGCGTCACCCATGGACGAATGTAACTACAGAGGAGTTACGAGTGGGTACGTTGCTGGCGTTTTAGAGATTTAGGGATTGAGAAACGATTGGTGGAGAGGACGGACTTACCCTACGGTAACCTTACCCACACAGCGAAACTCAATATATGATTGTTTCAAGCCAATTTTCTGTGTAGCCCTGGTATCACTCTGGTCGAACCGACCCATTCGTGCCTTAGCTTAGCTCTCCCACACATAAAATAAGTTGATCGCTTTAATGCAAACTAGGTCTCAGCATTCGACTAGGCAATTTGTTGTGCTATCAAGTTAACAATAGGTGAAATATCTTATTACCTATATAATATTAGTTATATATTATGCGTGCCTACGGTATTTTTGGTTGGGTAACCTGGTCGTACGGTTACGCATACCTACTATTCATTATAACATGATGCCCTAATTGAGTTGACCTTTTAGTTACAACGTAAACTGACGAACAAGAAACACCAAAATATTTATCTGTAATTATTATGTAGGTACATTTTACGTTTAAGAGCATCATTTTTCTAAATATATTTTTTTATAGACTATTAGTAAGTTTTTATTCATTGGTTATCTGTGGTTATGTCGGACAGCTGACAAGTGTCAAATCGGTGTTGAAGGTTAAAGGTAGGCATGTCTTTTATTTACTTCTGTTCATCATGAATTAAAAATAGTTTTCTTTTAAGATATAAGTACTTATGTTTTTGTTATTTTATATTAAATTGAAACTAACTATGAGCAGGAGATTGTTTAAATTAAGGAATCGTTAGTTATACCCACCTACTCCTTATTTTTTTTAACTGTATACAATATTGTCAGTACCTAAATAGCTAAGTACTTATAAGTATGGATATATACCTATCGATTTGTAGATAGATGATACAGGACCATGACTAAACTCGCTTTTAACAAACTACTTATAAGTAAACAGCTTTAGTTCGTGTAGGTGTGTAGGCATAGGTAATATTATAAGAGTAAATTACTTACGAAAAAATATGTAATTTACATAAACATCATTGAATAATATACCCTATTGTTTATATTCCGCATAAACCCAGAATAGTTTATCTCATAATTATGTCATAACTACGTAACTATATCAAAACAATAAACATGGCAGTGACCAACTGACCAATCATAGCAGCCTAGCGCAACTTAGAAGAAAAATAAAAATGTATGGGCTTGGCACGGCAAATAATGGCACACGGAAGTAGCCGGATATTGCCATCCCACTCCCTCAGTACAGTTCTCTTTCTTTCACTAATCCGTCGGCCATTTTGTTTGAAGTTTTGAACTTTGAATGTCGTTGCTTTTGTAAGTTTATGTTGTTATTTTCATAATTTCATAAATTTACGTATAATTTGTTTAGTTGATTAGTGGTTAGTGATACGGCTGTGACTAGTTACGTGTTCAAGTAAAATGCCACCAAAATAACGGTTTCTAACTTGTGAAATCTGCGGAGGACGATCCGGTCGTAAAAATGGCGAGAAAAGGATGTTTATGGCTAAATTTCCTTTGGATGAGGACCGGTAAGCATTAAATGATATAATTTTATTTAATTCTAAGTATAAAAGGCTACAAATACATGTAATTTGATTTTCATGTACTTATTGTGTACTAGTGATGTACCTCAAGTATCGATAGTCACAGACTTATGTGTGGGCTAAACTCCAAAGATCCCTTGATTTATTTATTCTTTAGTGATTTACTTTCCAGACCACACCAAAGAAGTAATGATGTTATTAGATGTTGTTGAACAAAGTTGTGACACGACAAACCCAGTAGATTTTAAGAAATTAATGATTAAACGTACATAAAAATTTATGTATACTGTATTCGTAAAATTTATGCATTTATTATATAAGGAACGCCAGCTGTTTACACAATTTAGAGTTATTCATGTCAGGGACTGTCCATTTTGAATTTTTCCATTTTTCAGGTGCCGGCAGTGGGTGAAAGTTGTTGGCAAAGAAGATTTAGTGTATGTGCCCATAGAACCAATTTACTGAACCAATATATGTATTAAGTATTAGAGTCCACTTAATTTAAATAATTTTAGTTAGGTCCTTAACACACCGTCCGATTATAACATGAATTTGAATATTATTACAAAAATATATTTTTTAGTTTTTAATATAACACAATGTTTTATTTCAAATCCGAACTTTATCTTAGAGATCGAAACTAAAAATTAAAAAAGTAATATGACCTCGATTTCTACCCTATAAATATTATCGATATCGATACTAAACTACTACTAGTATACAGCTACCACAGAACTATTTGGTCTTTTAGGTTGGTACTATTGATTTTGACGGCTGACATCTTTTATTTATTGCAATGTAGGTATTAGAGTGCCGTGTAAGTTGATTCCACTGGCTTGTATGGGAGTCCCGTCTCTTAAACGTAGTGGTTACATACTCTTTGAATCATAGCATCTGACCACGTTCCCGCCGTTCGTCGGAATAGACCGCTCCATTTTTTTTTCTGGTGTCAAGGCCTCTAGTGTATACAGCCGGCGCAAGGCACACAAGCTCTCCAACCAGCTTCGTTACACTACGTATTTATCGATCTTATCTTTCGATTTTAAGATACGATATCTTTTAAGATTACATAAACAATGATTGCACATTATGTGGCAGTGTTGGCGTTAGTTGCTGTCACGTTACCGGCAAGTTGTGTCGCGAATAACAATATGACGAAGAATTTGAAAGTTTTAGTTTCGTCCAACGATTTTCCCGCCAGCGGACTCAAGGTTTTAGAGGAACAGTGAGTACTTAATTGTTTATTTATTACTTTTAGTTTTATTTAACTAATTTCATCTATCTTTTCATTCATAAAACTAGTTTTAAATGTTTTTTTATTTATTTAATTAGTATCATAAATGAAAATAAGATTAAGTAGATTATCCCCAGTGATAGGGGTGCCCATTTTTGTACCTACACACTCATGACTACGGCAGTGTTCGTACCCTTAAAATTCTGTAACATTTTAAAATAATATAAGTTTTTACCTTTGTTAATTTTGTTCTTAACATAACTAGATACATGAAATAATTAACTGAAGTTACCTACGTCTGGAATCGGAGCTCGAAAATAACTGGCGGTGGCTCGCGATGGTAACGACCTATTAATGTCTCTATACAAGGCCACTAGAAGTTATTCACTCCAATGTGTGATTAAAAAACTACATATATCTTACAGCAATTAATATAATTGCTACAAGAATGCGTCTATAGCAATTTATCTG